ACATATCTGGCATTAAAGGAAACGTTCGGTCACATTCAGAATACAAACTTCTGAAAGTACTTTAAGTATGAAATTATTACATACTTTTCAATAAATTATAAGTATTTTAATTCAGAGTAATTCCATTTGAATGTGCTTTACTGGAGATATCCATGTTTGTCAAAGAACTACTACTGCCACCTACTGGTTTGTGCGGTATCGGCTGTTGAGCAAGTCCCAGTGCTGTGCTGGTGTTTGTCACAACACGCTATTATCCATGATGGTAACGACCAGTAACCTGACTCCGCCAAATGGATTTGCTCCGCATGTCCATCTGGAAACCTTCCGTTGAAGTAATTTTGGGAAGGGGCGAAAATACTGGTTAGCTGATTGGCCTATGTTGGTGATAGACGGGCCAGATAAACCAATCAGATCAACGAAGCATATGACGTACTAACAGAGCGACGATGAAAACACAACCACAAGCCAGGCTACTCTTCCCGAAACCAGTCGGGAGAAGAGCAAAAACATCTTTTCCTCTGAGAAAAGCCTCCAGAGCAGTGTTTTGCTCTTCTTTCAGTGAACAAATACTCTGTAATTCCGATAACACTTGCTCGATAGCCACGCTAACGCTAGTTTCATCGGCTGAAGCCGCCATGTTCTTTAGACTGAACTGTGGCGCTTCTCGTTGCGTCACACCTCAACCCGCCTCAAAGCCAACGCTGATTGGACGTTCGTTTGGTGAACGGCTCCAAATGTTCTCTTAACGGAGAGTAGCCAGACTGATCTGCGAGTGAAACCTTGAAAGCTCGCAAGATCAGGATGGTCTCACAAGGCGACCAGTGCAATATGCGAAGCAGAGAGTAACGGATTATTGACGCATGTTTTCTCTGGCCAGAAGTTCAACAACATCCGAGGTGGATCATGAATAGGAAAGATGAAATAACAAATTTATATTTTTCACTTTTACCTGATTTATCACAACATCCAACTGCCATGCACGTGGGCATTGTCAGTTTCACTATAGTTCACGCAAATTTCAATGGTGAAGTCCTCTTTAAATCTTCAATAATTGTTGTTGATTGCAGATCTGTCTAGTGGTTTGCCATTAATTTTGCTAGTAAAGCGGGGAGAATGGCGCTTGGCTTACCGCACCAGGATGTCAATGCTGGAAGATGTCAGGAGTGAGGTTGTACTATATTTGGGCAAAAATGGCCACTCCCAGACTCGGTTTTCGCGACAGACAATAATGTTTTTTTTTTTTTTTTAGGATTAACGATAAATTCGAACGTATTAGTTTTAGGTATAGATAATGACCCACTGGTTATTCCTTGCTGACTGCACTTTTCCTCTAATAGAAGTGTAGCAACATCTTGGACTTTTTTTTTAACCTTTAGAGCTTCACTTTAAAATGATTTTAAAATAAAGGCGTACCACTGAAGGGGGTCTGGGGCAGCAAGTTTTACAATGTGGCTCACTCTTTTTTAATTTTTTTCTCTTCACCCTGATGAAAAAACACTGGCCTCACACTGGTCTCGCTAGTAAAGATTGTCTAAAACCATTTTTGATTTGGGTTGATATATAAATCCCAATCAGTAAATTCTACTGCTATGTTTCTACAATTTCATTTAGTAACATTTCCTAACATTGAATGCAGAGGTGATTTATATTTTTTAATAGTTTAATTAAACCTATTTGGACATTTGAATAATTTTCTGTTTGTTTTTAATTGTCTGTTTGTTTTTTCAATAAACTTTTCAGGTTAATTTAATTGGAAAGAAATTGTGTTTGTTAATATAACACCATACTGTTTATTTTTTTATTACCCAGTGCGGAAAATAAAAATCATCTGACTGTTTTTCTTAAAGGTCGGGTTTGCTAAAGGGGAAGATATATATTGCATATTTTTGTGATGTAATATAAATATTCTAATATCCATTAACTAGATAAAACAAACAACCCCCCCTTTCATTTTTGTCAAGATGACAGTAAATATAATAAATAAAATATGTATTTTATTTTTCTAAATGTAAAAATTTGTTTGATACATAATATTTTATTGATTTCAGTTAAAGAGTATTAAAGGAATAAAGGCAAAATATTAAGGAACCCCTAGAGAACTTTAGCCAAGATATTCCTTATAAGCCACCATCTGGCTGAAGGATCATAACAAATCAACCAGTGATGCAGATTATAATAATGTGGAGTAAAAGATCCCCTTCACTATTTTATTTGGATGAAAACATGAAACAACAACTGTAAAAAGCTGTAAAAACCTTGAAACTGGGACAAAAGTGCTGGTTATACTCCTGCAGCAGTGTGTTACAGGTATGACGCAGATATTTTTAATTTATGCCCAATTTTTAAGCCTGGTCTGCGCTATGTTGTTTCATGCCAAAACACAAGAGGGGCAACCATGAACTAGCTGTGGGTTTAGATATGTCCTGAGGCGGTGAGGAAGTGGAAAGACGCAAGGGACAAGTTTGTCCGACAAAGGAGGGACATGAGGGCGAAAAAGAGCGGGGATCCAGGTGGAAAAAGGGTCCCAGCGTTCTCGCGCACCTCATTCTTTTAGCTGGTCCATCTTCCTTTTTGAAAAAAAAAACAAGCCGGTAAGGTAACAAAAAAGAAATACACATAGGGCCGGATCTATCAAAGGTTTGCGTGTATAAAAACGTGAGCTATTTCACTGCGCACGCTAAAAAATGTACAAACTGATCTATCAACAGCGTGCTAAAAGGATTTGGTCTTTAAAACGTGCTAAATAGCGCCTCTTATCCATTCAGTACGTTTTCTGCAATGAATATGCAATGTGGGGCGTTTACACGCAAAAGTGTGTCTTGTGGGAGGAGAACATGTAAATATATTAATTTAGCACTCGCAAAGTGATTTATCAAACCTGAAAGCAATTTTTCTAACGGTATCTGACTCTATATTTAACACGTTTCAAAAGAAGGTGCAAATGGTCTGTATGCGTAATTGCGCACACATGGCAGCGGTTATTGTCGCAAGAAGGAGACATCGAAATGAAGCAAGGAGACGGAGAGAAAGCATTTTTTCACTCCGTGTGAATATTTTTGCAATGAACGAGGAAACGATCATCAAAACATATCGTTTATCCAGCATTGCCATTTTGGAGCTGTTGGGGGAACTTCGAATGGATTTGGAGCCAGCCACAAGGAGGACCCACGCAATACCAGATATCACAAAACTCCTTGCAACATTGCACTTTTTTGCATCTGGGTCATTCCAGCGTACGGTTGCAGCGAGAGCTGGGATCTCCCAATCTCATTTTTCAGAAGTGCTATCCGACATTCTAAATGCCATGTCGCCCTGACGCCCTACCGGAGAACTCCAACCTCCCCCCTGCGCCTGTGGCGCAACATGCCAATGCTGCGGGGATGCGTACGCGCAGTAATCTTATCCACAGTCACTTCTTGTGAGCCATTTGGTATGTGCATTTTTCTACAGGCCAATACAAAACACCTGTTTTTTTTTTTGTTTTTTTTATTGCAGTGAAGTAGAAATTCAGCCACATACCACATTAGGGAATAAAGGTTGCCAAAGTTTTATATATATATATATATATATATATATATATATATATATATATATATATATATATATATATATATATATATTTTTTTTTTTTTTTATTTTTTTTTTTTGGGAGGGGGTGGGGGTGTCACTGTAAGATTTAAATTTATTAATGCACTAGTTTGTACAAACTACAAACTACTTTGCCGCAAACCACAAAACGCGCAAAACCATCATTTAAATAGGGCGTCTCCAACAGTTTTGCACCTGCCACCAGTTACGCAATCTCTCTTGTTAAATCACCCGCAAACCATGGTTACGCCCCTCGCGCAAAATTCCAGTTTGCGAGCGCAAATTACTGCACGCAAAATTGGATCTTGATAAATCCGGCCCATAGTGTAGAGCGGATGTAGATTTGACCAATCAGAGGCCTCCTGTTTTCGGTGGACTACAACTTTGGTAAGGTGCACCAGAGTGTCTGCGGAAGGGGTGGGGACATGTCTGCCTTCACTGCAACACACACGCAGACAAGCTGCTTTCCGAGTATAAACCAGCCTTAAGTTTGGTCTTACAGCCAGTCTGCAGCTCATAATATACACCCAAAGCTACAGTTAAAAATACATTCACATTATAATGGTCTACATAAAGTCCTGTTTTAAATCAAATTTGTGAATTTGCATCTAAGCCGGGCTGCTTAGTGGGGCAGTGGGTAGCACTGCTGCCTTGCAGCAAGAAGGTTCTGGGTTCAATTCCTGGCTTGTTTGCATGTTCTCTCTGAGCATGCGTGGGTTCTCTCTGGGTACTCTGGCTTCCTCTCACAGTCCAAAAACATGACTGTAAGGTTAATTGGCTTCCCTTAAATCCTCCTTAGGTGTGAGTGTGTGAGTGAATGGTTGTTTGTCTCTGTGTTGCCCTGCGATGGACTGGCGATCTGTCCAGGGTGTACCCTGCCTCTCGCCCATTGACAGCTGGAGATAGGCGACCCCACTTGGGACAAGCGTGTTAGATAATGGATGGATGGATGCATCAAAGCTTCCAGGTTCCTGTTCTAAGAGGTAATCTGCCCAGGTTGACTGAGCTTCACTTGTTCTGCATAGACTGATGGAATAATTAACTCCAAAAAAGTATAAAAGCATGCAGTATTAATTTATTTGAAAAAATGTTCCCGTCCCTTTACAGCTATTAACTACTTTGGATTTTATCAAAATAAAATATTTAGTATTTTTGGTTGCAACATGACAAAAGGGTGTCAATACTTTAGCAACCTCCTCCTGTGACTCATTTTCTGCGTAATGTTTAGCTACTTTGAAGCTCGTATCATATCTTCAACCTGTCAGAACATCCAGAATCCAGATGAGGTGGAAATATATCAGAGCTCAGTCATGACAAGACATTTTATCACCTAAGTCTTCACACACCTCCTCCATCCACAGGGATCGAAAGCAATTATAGTCAAAGTGGTGATCCGATAAGGTAGCGCTTACTGCGTCTGAAGTGAGGCGGGTTATCGTTTACGTCGGTCAGCTTCACAGTGACGGTCGTGGTACCCGTCAACCCACCCATATGCCCGCCCATGTCTTTCGCCTGGAGGACCACCAGATATTCATCCTGCGTCTCTCTGTCCATATCAGGTACCGCGGTCCGTAGGATGCCTGGTGGAGAGGAAAGCGGGGAGCACAACAAAACTCACAACAGCTCCAGATTTCACAGTGACACGCCGTCTCCTCACATTAGCATCAAAGCGAGTCATACATTTTAAAATGAGGATATTTCCAACCATGTGACTCCAGGCCACCACTCTTTCTAAACTGACTCTAGTCAGAAAAAGCATCTAGTTTTCTGCTGAACATATGGTGAGAACGGATAAAACATAGCATACGATGAGGATTAACGGTGTGGAGTTTTACCATCAGCTCTAAATTCAGGTGATGCTTGCTCAATATAAGGGTAGGAACCAACCTGTTTGAGGGTCCACTGAGAAAAACTCCTGGCCCTGTAATATCCCATAAACCAGACGGGCACTGTTTCCATATGCTGGATCATCTGCGTCTACGGCTGTGACCTGGATTATGGATGTGCCTGTGAAACACAAGAGGAATAAACAGAAGCAAACAGAGCATCTCACAAAATTAAGCTATAATTATTATTAGATCCTTAATGATTCCTTTGAGTATTCAGTGGTTAAATCCGTTAGGCTAAATGGATAATGCAATTCCTCCTGCCTCTCTGTGCTCACAAAATGTTCTAAATGTCATCTTGATCTTATGCTTGAAGCCAAATGTTTAACCCAACTGTGTTAAAAATATGTCAAATGCAAACTACATTCTACAGAGTACTTTGCAGAAATCTTAAACCAATTTGTTTATATTTAGCCTCTAAAAAACAGAATTTCTTGTAATCTGGTAGAGTAGTGATGATGAACGGCTGCCCAGGCTTTCTGGAAGTTGTCCAAAGCTTTGTTTCAGACTTTTTTATAGAGATTTTTCCTCATTTTCAGTCGAGTTTATTGCTTTATAGGCCCCTTAACGTTGATTTAAGGGTCATGCTTGCATCAACAGCTCAAAAACACAAAGAATGAGCCACTGTTATTATTTAATTAATCCACCACAAAGAGGCTGTTGGCAAAATTCCCCCAGCAGAAATTCTTTACTGGGAACTAAGGATTAGTTAGATAAATATCAACAAAATATCTGCATGATATTATTTGTACAGTGGCTACAGAGGCTACATGGAATGAAGTGGTAATCCCAATCTCATTGTGTGCAGGGGATGAAGGACTTCCACCCTGGTGTTCCTAAATCCTGCTCTGTTAATCAACGGGACATTTGATCAATGAAAAGAAATGGGTTCAGAATTATTCTCAATACTAGAAATGCTTCTGTTTGTCTCTCTGCACCACTCTGTATGCCCCGCCCCATTATGTGTTGCACTATTCTCCTCTTCAGAAGGAATATATGTGGTACAGTGAAATAGAAAAAACTATTGAATTTATAGAAATCACTGGATATAATAAATTTAGGGACCTCGTTATTTTATACTTCACATTTACTAAAAAAAGGCCTGAAGATGTTGAAATAATCCCCTTTGTAAAATGTACTTTATATTTTATTAAGAATTTTATTCTGTCCATCAACCTTTAATCAAAGTTCCATGTAACAACCATAAGTACATAAAAAAACACTCAATGAAGAACTTCCTTCAAAGTTTAACACACAGTCAGGCAGAATCTGGCTGTTAATTAGTTTCCTTTTGTACTAAATATGTCTTATTTGAAATATCAGAGAAGGTTGTCAAGCAGCAAAAGCCTCTTGGCTTGTTGTTGATGTGTTGAATCTGTGCTCTATTGATGATAGCTTTCACGCTGTGAACGAGCCTTAATAAAGGCTTAGATACTCAGGGTTAATTTAACGTATTGATATCAGCTATTCTGGAACCAAAACAACAGAGTTTCCCCAATTCTGATGGGGTTTTGTAGCCTCGTGAGACCATCCTGATCTCGCGAGCTTTCAAGGTTTCACTCGCAGATCAGTCTGGCTACTTTCCGTTAAAGAAAATTTGGAGCCGTTCACCAAACGAACGTCCAATCAGCGTTGGCTTTGAGGCGGGTTGAGGTGTGACGCAACGAGAAGCGCGACAGTTCAGTCTAAAGAACATGGCGGCTTCAGCCGATGAAACTAGCGTTAGCGTGGCTATCGAGCAAGTTTTATCGGAATTACAGAGTATTTCTTCACTGAAAAAAAGAGCAAAACACTGCTCTGGAGGCTTTTCTCAGAGGAAAAGATGTTTTTGCTCTTCTCCCGACTGGTTTCGGTAAGAGTAGCCTGGCTGTTAGTACGTCATATGCTTCGTTGATCTGATTGGTTTATTTGGCCCGTCTATCACCAACATAGGCCAATCAGCTAACCAGTATTTTCGCTCCTTCCCAAAATTACTTCAACGGAAGGTTTCCAGATGGATATGCGGAGCAAATCCATCTGGCGGAGTCAGGTTAGGGGTTTTGTTGAGTTAACTCAAAATTCATATTAAGGTATTTTGAATAACCACCCTCATTAGCTGGCATTAGTAAACTTTACAGTGGATATTCAAGATCTAATAATTGTTTTATACTTTAAATTTAATTTAGCTGATTTTTGGTTGTAATATGTTTTGCTTTACATCTTTAAACCAGAGTTCGATCTTAAAGACTCCAATTGGGCTCATTATAAGTCTGTCTGTCAGGCTAAAAATCCCCCCAAAAGAACTCATCAAAAGAAGCACATGGTTTTTCTAACAATATGGCTTGAAATGATAGGTAATAATGTTCAGCATCCAGTATGGCTATTTGAGGTCCATATTAATCCTCTTCACAAACTGCTTCCATGCATTTTAAAGCAGCTCTGTTCCTACATACAGCTCAAACATTTCGCTGCAATCAATAATACATATAAATGGAGGAAGTAGTGTAAAAACAAGAAAAACACAACAGAGAGCACTCGGATCGGATGCCTCATGTGATGTCAACAAGAAAGCTTGTTTTGGCAAAGAGAGATTCTTTACTGATTAAAGATAAAATCACAAAAAAATAGGAGAACAACTAGAAATACTGTCAAGTACAACAGAGTATTATGGCCAGGCTAGAGATTTTTATTTTTTATGTTGAGAATAAAGTTGTAACATTACAAAAAAATAAAGTCATAACATTACGAATAGAAAAGGACCTGTTGTTCTGAGGGTAAAAAAAAACTGTGTCTAAAATGAGTCACACAAAATTTTGCAGAAACCACAGCTCAGAACGAAAAGACAGACAGGTCCTTCCATTCCCGTTAGTCTAACTACTATCTAGCTAGATTAATAACTAGATTAATCTAGCTCCTTCTAACTGAAAGTAGGCTGTTAGTCAAAAAATCTTGTACAGAACTTTAGATATTCTCAGAAAAGTTAAATTAGGTTACCTTAAAATTGACAGCTGGTCTGATTTTCAGTGCAGGACTAAATATCTGACTAAAATATCAGCTCCACTGACCGTTAAAAAGCTTGGGCTCTTCAAAAGGAATACATGATGAATTCTAATGATATTATTGATCCCAGTTTTTATAAACATTTTAACATTTTTACTGAGGATAGCATGTTGAAAAACTATTCACACTAATTGGCACCTTTAGCCTACCTTAAAATTCACCTTCTATTGCTGCAGCAAATCTAATTAAGACATGAGAAAAATCCTTGACTTTATTTCCAGTCTGCTTAAATAGTTCATATATATAAGTTTTATATATAATATATATATATATTACAAAAGCAATAAAATGAACAATATAAGCTGTTTCTGTAGTTACTTAGGTAACAATGGGTTACTTCTGTAAACCATTGGTCAACATTGGCCAGTTGGTCTGATACCTATTGTTGTTAACTATTGTTCTCCATTTTAGTAATGGCACTTGATCTTTTTCTAACATTCTTTGGTCCAATATATGTAATAAAAGCAGGTATGATTCATGCTAATATCATATCGGGTCCATATCAGTTTCGGTTGATCCTCAAAACTTCCATATCGGTATTGAATCGGAAATAAAAAGTTGTATTGAGACTTCTATCATTAAGACTGTAGAGTGTCTCATTAATAATTCAAGACTTTTCAGTTCTTTTGGGATTTAAGCATTAAATAATACAGAGATCCACTTTTGGGTCCTCCTGAAAATGGGAAATACAAGTAAACATGCCATACAAGTAAGATAGATATATGTTGATTTTTCACTGTACAGAATATGAGTGGGACTTAGCAGCTAACCACTTAACCATGGCCAGACATGCAGAGCAATAATCAAAAGGTGAAAAGCAACAACTGAAAATTAATTTAGAAAGAGGAATATCAATTTTAAACAAATTATTTAACTGTTTTATATTTCAATTCCCTTTCAATTCTTCTGGAAAAAGTCTTTCTGGTTTTAACAGAAACTAAATAAAAAGTACAATTTATCTTTTTGTGAGATTTCGGGGTCTTTGAGGTAGGGAGATCTCTTTGCCATCACCCTTAACTTTAGTTTTTTTTTCAACAGATTCTCAACAGCTTTGAGAAAAATGAATAAAACAAAAATGTAAGTTAAATGTTAATCTTCAAGCTGTGATTTTAAGTTTTGTCTAAACTGTAGGTATACAGTGGACTTAATCATTTGCAAACTGCCAGCAGCTGGTTGAAATAATGCTTCTGCACATTTTTGTTTTGTATCAGCTATTCTTTTTTAAAGAAAATAAAATAAATCCAGTCCAATCCAGTGTGATAGAAGATAAATTAATAAAAGACCTGTTTTGTGTATTATTTAAAAAAAAAGAAAGGGCCCCGACAGCAAAGTTAAATTTGTTTAAAATTGATACTCCTTTTTCTAAATTAATTTTCAGTTGTTGCTTTTCACCTTTTGATTATTGCTCTGCATGTCTGGCCATGGTTAAGTGGTTAGCTGCTAAGTCCCACTCATATTCTGGACAGTGAAAAATCAATATATATCTATCTTACTTGTATGGCATGTTTACTTGTATTTCCCATTTTCAGGAGGACCCAAAAGTGGATCTCTGTATTATTTAATGCTTAAATACCAAAAGAACTGAAAAGTCTTAAATTATTAATGAGACACTCCACAGTCTTAATGATAGAAGTCTCAATACAACTTTTTATTTCCGATTCAATACCGATATGGAAGTTTTGAGGATCAACCGAAACTGATATGGACCCGATATGATATTAGCATGATTCGTACCTGCTTTTATTACATGTATTGGACCATAGCATGTTAGAAAATGATCAAGTGCCATTACTAAAATGGAGAACAATAGTTAACAACAATAGGTATCAGACCAACTGGCCAATGTTGACCAATGGTTTACAGAAGTAACCCATTGTTACCTAAGTAACTACAGAAACAGCTTATATTGTTCATTTTATTGATTTTGTAAAATAAACACCTACATTTTAAGTAGTTATATTTCAAATGTGCTAGTCTTGTGATTTAAAGCACATTGTCCTTTTTTTTTTTTACTGCATTTGATAATTTTCTGTGGTTTATATTTTATTGTTCAAGTTTGAAAAAAGGTTGGGTTTAATTGGGGGGTGCAAAACCTTTCTTGTAAGCCAAAGTGGGGCCCAGCAAGGTTTGGGAACCACTAGTGTAAGTGATCATTTCTTAGTGATGCAGGAAATTTCTTTTCTTTTTCTCTCTCTGATCACTGCAGACATACACAGCAAAAATGATCTATAAATAAATAATTAAGTGTATTTACCTTTAATTTGAGTAGGTAAATATGATGATTTGCCAATGAAATTGGTATCTTTTCTCTAAAATAAGATAAGTAGATAATATGAACTTATAAGACAAATAAGACAATGCAATTGTTCTGTAAAAGTTGAAAAAAAATATCCACTGGACTTGGTTTCCAAGATTTGAAGACGTTTCGCCGCCTCTCCAGGAAGCTTTCTCAATTCAAATGTCTGGATCCGCAGTGAGTTTGAGTCTTATATAGACAAGGCCTTGTATTCCTTGGAAACATGCAAATGGAAACCGATGAATGGGTGGAATGGAAGCAAACGACCCACCCATCGGTTACCATTTGCATGTTTATATATATGACAAAATCAATAAAATGAACAATATAAGCTGTTTCTGTAGTTACTTAGGTAACCAATGGGTTACTTCTGTAAACCATTGGTTAACATTGGCCAGTTGGTCTGATACCTATTGTTGTTGACTATTGTTCTCCATTTTAGTAACTTCACTTGATCATTTTCTAACATTCTATGGTCCAATACATGTAATAAAAGCAGGGCCTTGTATTGCTTGGAAACATGCAAATGGTAACCGATGAGTGGGTCGTTTGCTTCCATTCCACCCATTCATCGGTTACCATTTGCATGTTTCCAAGCAATACAAGGCCTTGTCTATATAAGACTCAACTCACTGCGGATCCAGACATTTGAATTGAAAAAGCTTCCTAGAGAGGCGGCGAAACGTCTTCAAATCTAGGAAACCAAGTCCAGTGGATATTTTTTTTCAACTTTTACGGAACAATTGCATTGTCTTATTTCAAGTTCATATTATCTACTTATCTTATTCTAAGAGAAAAGATACTAATTTCATTGGCAAATCATCATATTTACCTACTCAAATTAAGGGTGAATATACTTAATTTGACCTGGATGACTGAGAAACTTCATCAGCACACTGCAATAGTTTTTTCTCATTTTAAATGTAAATTGTCTTGTTCCATTGGCAAAGTGTCTCACTTTCGTCCTCAATTAGAGAAAATGCAGTTATTTAAAGTAAAAATTACTTAATTAGATTTCCATTTTTTGCAGTGTACTGACCAAAACATCAGCGAGAGAAGAGGAGACTTAGTATTTCTGACAGAGTCAGTGTTGCTTTCCTGGCTGCCTCTACTGGAATCCATCGAGAAAATGTGCTGACCTCCCAACAGGACAACGCCTGTGACATTATAAACCCACCAATGATTCAGGCACCAGTATCACTTTTCTGCCCCTTCGGCGCCGTACCTATGTTGGCCATCTCTGGCACCATGGCAACGTAAGGCTCACTGGGGAAGACAGGCGGGTTGTCATTGATGTCCTGTACTCTGATGATGAACTCCGAGGAGGGCTCCAGGGCACGGCCGGTCTCCCGGTCTGTGGCCGTCGCTATGAGACGATATTCGTCTTTCTCCTCTCTGTCCAGAGACTTGGTAACGTGGATGTTCCCTGTGTTGCCGTCAATAACAAACACAGAGCCGACTCCCTCCCCCTCCAGCATGTATTTGGTGCGCCCGTCCCCTCTGTCCATATCTGTGTGCAGCTGGAAAATTAAACAAAAAACAGACAACAATCCCAACAACACCTTCAGGCAAGATCCATCAGGGGTTGCTGATGCAGGTATCACTCATTAACACCCACTTATTTATTTGGCATGCAAAAGCAATTCCAGACTGTGTGAATGGGTAAATCGTGTCTAGATGAGATGCCCTCTGTGAATCTGAGAGGAATGGCACCAGGTGTGGAACATACATATGGGACCAGAGTGAGTACTGACGCATGCAGCTAATTAACTCACTGGACCAAACATGCCACTGGGGGGTTCGTTGAGAGGAAAATCAACACTGATGCGGACAGAGGCCCAGCAAATGTCATGTATGTATAATCACAGACACATCCTGCAAATGCAGGCAGTATCCATCCGTAAAATCTTTCAGTCCTTTCTACCCATCTGTCTCTTTCTTGTCCTGCTTCTCCAACCATCTGCCCAGCGCTGCCTCCACCCTATAAAGCACCTTTTCCCCCTCTTGTTTCCTCTCCTCTTTTCATCAAGTAACCTCGCTTACAAGATTGCCCATCTGTTCACATTTCTCAGGCCCCCTGCCCTTCATCTAACTCTGTTTATTTTCTCCCCTTCCCTTTTTTATTTCTCTCTTCTGTGCAAAATCTGAGTTTAGTGTTTAACGGCAGAGAGGATATTAGTGAGATATATAGATAGGTAAAAGGCCAAACACACAGAAATAGAAGAAATAGAGATTACTCAGCCTTCATCAAATCTAGCCTTCTGACCAGAGACTCTCACATCTCTCTGTCCTCAAGGCATATCTGCACATGTTCATAATCCACAAGGCTTAGTCACAACCTCGGCTGCAGACCCCAGATACTCGAAAGAACTAAAGCCTTGACTTCAAAATGCAGATGCAGAGCAGTTTCTCTTGAAATCTGAGTGCCAATTTTGCATATTTATTTCAAGCCTTTTTATTTGCTACCATGAAATGTGCCGATGCACAAAGAAGTAGACCTATCTTCCAGGGTACAATTAGTCAGTTTAAATTACAGCATCCTTCCTCGGTCTATCCAGACTATCTCAAGGGGTTTGGCAAAAGGTGTGTATGCTTTTTATGAGGCAACACAAAACCAAACAATACATGCAGTCTCATACAGCAAAGGAAAATGCATTTTTTAGAGTAGCCAGTTAGCCTAACATGCCTGTTTTTGGAGGAAGCTGAAATGCCAGATGAGAACCTATGCTTGCATTGGAAGAAAATGAAAAGACTGAGACTCAAACCCACAAGACAACAGTGCAAACAACTTCTCCACACTGTGGTCTAGGATGAATACATAGAATAGGAAAAAAAAAATACTCATTCCCCTTTTCCAGCTTTGTTATTGTCACCTTTTATTGAGATTAAGGGTAGTTTAAAAACCCAGAGTGGATTATTCCTCTCTAGTTTGAAGGGAAAATCATACATACCAGAAAAGCAAAGCATGCATGTAGGGCATGCATTTATTTAGATGAATCAATATTTTGTAGAACATCCTTTTGCTGCAATTACACCTGCCTTTGCTTTGAAAATAGCTCAACCTGATCAGATGACAAAGTTCCTGCAGAGATCAGTACTTCCTTTCCATAATTTAGCCAGTTCTTTAAAGTGATAATACCTATTCAGTTAATCATTTAAAAAAAATGTTTTATTTATTCTATGGAACATTTAATTATAGTTTTCAATTTAATGGCATGCTGAATATCTTAATCATGTCTAAGGTAAATAAATAAATGTTGAATTTGATAATTCCTCTGGAAACTCGCCTTCATGTATTTCATTATATTTTTTTGCTGGCCATACAGTGATTGTAGAAGCAATCTCATGACCCCACAATTGTTGCCTCACATCCCCCTACGAGTCCCAAATCCCACTTTGGAAACCCGTGCTCCGTGCTTTAGGCTTAACTATAATTTACTCTGTAGCCTCACAAAACATCTAGAATTATACTGACAATAAATCACACACAGGCGGAAGGGACTTCTGAATACAATGTGCTGCTTTGGATTTCTACAGCGGTATAAAGGTTATAAGACCTGGATAAAAATGTCAATTCCAATTTTACCATTTGTATTTGTCAGAAATTGGGTAAACATTGCATCATCCCCTTTCTATTTCCCATTTATGCATTGGATTTTGTGTGAGTCTACCACGTATAATCCCAAAAAACCACATTCAAGTTTGTCTTTGTAAGGCAACAAAACATGAAAAAAATCAAAGGGTCTGAATACTTTTTGACAAGTTATGCTCACATGAGATAAAGCATGCATAGTTGAGAGAGAAAACCAACATACGGATTATGTGAGGGTGGGGATTATATACTCTCGTAATGTTATATACACAACAACCAGCAAGATAAATGCTAGTTTCTTTATTCTTCCCTGCATCCACATCCTCTCCATCCTTTCTTCCTTAAAACTAGCTTTGATCCCACTCTTCACCACCAGAGACATCTTTGTTGAAGTCTGTGCCTCCCTTGCCTCCCCCCCTCCATTGCCTTCTACTTCCAAACCAGACCTCCTCTCTCCTCACTGTCTAATTGCTGGTTCAGTCCTGCTGCGCCTCAGCCAGCATGGAAAAACACTCTCACAGTGGGGAAGAAATGTATCCATCCCAGTCCAAATAAAGCAAGAAAAGGAGGGTACCATCTCCTTCTCTTAACCCCCTTTCTCCTTACTGTTGCTCCACACACACCTCCGGGTTTATTTCCGCTTCTTTAGGCAAACTTGATTCTTCTAACTGAGGTTGAGGCACCTGCGATTTGAGCTGCTAGTATCTCTCTTCACCTCATTTCATCTCTCTATTTCTGGAAAACAAAGTGAGCTGCTTTAGCGAGGTAAACCTTGCGCTTCCAATTCTTCCACACAGCAGCAGCATTTTATTACATGAATATTAAAATAAAGACAAAAGGCATGAGCGCCCCTTGTTACCGCTGATCGCTTTAACACCCCTCCCTGCTTGTATCAATAACAACTGGAGAGGGAAATTAAACATTTATGAGGCGTATACAGCTCTGGTAAGGATCCAATCTTGACTGTCACTATATGGTTTACTACGAGCTACAAAGTGGCTGGCAGCTTTCCCTGTTAGTCTTACAGCTGATGGAAGCCTGCTCCAGGTATTCTGAGGCTGCCAATAGCTGCATTAGAGAAGAGTTCCTCACTGTGAAATAATACAATCAAACCTGTGGGACTGGATGGTTCAGGTGTGCTCTGAGCTAAATCATCTGATAGCCGATGAAGGCTGCTGTTGTCGGCCATTGTCAGATTTGAAGGGTGTGATGTATTGAGCGGGGGTACAGCTCTTCTGATACAAGGGGTCTATCTGAGCTGCATTCCAGGAAAATAAAATGAGCAGAAAATACAAACAGCTATTTATTTTTCCTTTTTGATTTAATGCATCAGGCATTTTTACCACTGATTAGGATGGAGAAAATTCCAGAGGATAAACTTTTCAAAATAACCAGAGGCAAAGATTTGCTCCACTGCCAGTTTAAACTCCTTTTTATTTTCATGTGGCTAACGAACTGAACTAGAAAATGTGGCTTTCAGAATGGTGCTATGATTCTACTCCAATGTATGCTGGAGGTGAGAGGGATTACTTCTGGTGCTGCGATGAGGAAACCAGCACAGGATAGCATTTAGCCAATCTGATTTTTTTAAGAGAATTGTTTTGGAAGAGGGAGTTTATCCATTGGTTTCGGCTGCTTTGTAGTAGCAAAACATATACACTATATTGCCAAAAGTATTTGCTCACCTGCCTTGACTCACATATGAGCTTAAGTGACATCCCGTTCCTAATCCATAGGGTTCAATATGACGTCGGTCCACCCTTTGCAGCTAGAACAGCTTCAACTCTTCTGGGAAGGCTGTCCACAAGGTTTAGGAGTGTGTTTATGGGAATTTTTGACCATTCTTCCAGAAGCGCATTTGTGAGGTCGCACACTGATGTTGGACGAGAAGGCCTGGCTCTCAGTCTCCGCTCTAATTCATCCCAAAGGTGTTCTATCGGGTTGAGGTCAGGACTCTGTGCAGGCCAGTCAAGTTCATCCACACCAGACTCTGTCATCCATGTCTTTATGGACCTTGCTTTGTGCACTGGTGCACAGTCATGTTGGAAGAGGAAGGGGCCAGCTCCAAACTGTTCCCACAAAGTTGGGAGCATGGAATTGTCCAAAATGTCTTGGTATGCTGAAGCATTCAGAGTTCCTTTCACTGGAACTAAGGGGCCAAGCCCAGCTCCTGAAAAACAACCCCACACCATAATCCCCCCTCCACCAAACTTTACACTTGGCACAATGCAGTCAGACAAGTACCGTTCTCCTGGCAACCGCCAAACCCAGACCCGTCCATCAGATTGCCAGATGGAGAAGCGCGATTCGTCACTCCAGAGAACGCGTCTCCACTGCTCTAGAGTCCAGTGGCGGCGTGCTTTACACCACCGCATCCGACGGTTTGCATTGCACTTGGTGATGTATGGCTTGGATGCAGCTGCTCGACCATGGAAACCCATTCCATGAAGCTCTCTGCGCACTGTTCTTGAGCTAATCTGAAGGCCACATGAAGTTTGGAGGTCTGTAGTGATTGACTCTGCAGAAAGTTGGCGACCTCTTCGCACTATGCGCGTCAGCATCCGCTGACCCCGCTCCGTCAGTTTACGTGGCCTACCACTTCGTGGCTGAGTTGCTGTCGTTCCCAAACACTTCCATTTTCTTATAATACAGCTGACAGTTGACTGTGGAATATTTAGGAGCGAGGAAATTTCACGACTGGATTTGTTGCACAGGTGGCATCCTATCACAGTTCCACGCTGGAATTCACTGAGCTCCTGAGAGCGACCCATTCTTTCACAAATGTTTGTAAAAACAGTCTGCATGCCTAGGTGCTTGAATTTATACACCTGTGGCCATGGAAGTGATTGGAACACCTGATTCCAATAATTTGGATGGGTGAGCAAATACTTTTGGCAATATAGTGTAAATGTATGTTAATTTTAGTGT